CGTGGCACTTCCTCGACACCACAGGGGGGAGCTGTGGGTGGGGACGCTATCCGTTTCGGGCTCGCAAAGCGTGGCAGGCGTGGCACTTCCTCGACACCACAGGGGGGAGCTGTGGGTGGGGACGCTATCCGTTTCGGGCTCGCAAAGCGTGGCAGGCGTGGCACTTCCTCGACACCACAGGGGGGGAGCTGTGGGTGGGGACGCTACCCGTTTCGGGCTCGCAAAGCGTGCAGGCGTGGCACTTCCTTGACGCCACAGGGGGGGAGCCGTGGGTGGGCTATCCGTTTCGGTCGCAAAGCGTGGCAGGCGTGGCACTTCCTCGACACCACAGGGGGGGAGCTGTGGGTGGGGACGCTATCCGTTTCGGGCTCGCAAAGCGTGGCAGGCGTGGCACTTCCTCGACACCACAGGGGGGGAGCTGTGGGTGGGGACGCTATCCGTTTCGGGCCGCATCGGGGGGGAGCTGTGGGTGGGGACGCTATCCGTTTCGGGCTCGCAAAGCGTGGCAGGCGTGGCACTTCCTCGACACCACAGGGGGGAGCTGTGGGTGGGGGCTATCCGTTCGGGCTCGCAAAGCGTGGCAGGCGTGGCACTTCCTCGACACCACAGGGGGGCAGCTGTGGGTGGGGACGCTATCCGTTTCGGGCTCGCAAAGCGTGGCAGGCGTGGCACTTCCTCGACGCCACAGGGGGGAGCTGTGGGTGGGGACGCTATCCGTTTCGGGCTCGCAACGCGTCGCAGGCGTGGCTCGACCACAGGGGGGGAGCTGTGGGTGGGACGCTGTCCGTTTCGGGCTCGCAAAGCGTGGCAGGCGTGGCACTTCCTCGACACCACAGGGGGGGAGCTGTGGGTGGGGACGCTATCCGTTTCGGGCTCGCAAAGCGTGGCAGGCGTGGCACTTCCTCGACACCACAGGGGGGGAGCTGTGGGTGGGGACGCTATCCGTTTCGGGCTCGCAAAGCGTGGCAGGCGTGGCACTTCCTCGACACCACAGGGGGTGCGCTGGGGGTGGTCTCCCTATCCGTTGCGGGCTCGCAAAGCGTGGCAGGCGTGGCACTTCCTCGACACCACAGGGGGCGCGTTGGGGGTGGTCTCCCTATCCGTTGCGGGCTCGCACAGCGTGGCAGGCGTGGCACTTCCTCGGCCCCACAAGGGGTGCGCTGGGGGTGGTCACCCTATCTGTGACGGGCTCGCAAAGCATGGCAGGCGTGGCACTTCCTCGGCACCACAGGGATTGCGCTGGGGGTGGTCTCCCTATCCGTGACGGGCTCGCAAAGCGTGGCAGGCGTGGCATCTCCTCGACACCACAGGGGACGCGCTGGGGATGGTCTCCTTGTCCGCCTCGAGCTCGCAAAGCGTGGCAGGCGTGGCACTTCCCCGACACCACAGGGGATGCGCTGGGGTTGGTCTCCCTATCCTTGACGGGCTCGCAAAGCGTGGCAGGCGTTGCACTTCATCGACACCACAGGGGGTGCGCTGGGGGTGGTATCTTTATCCGTTGCGGGCTCGCAAAGCGTGGCAGGCGTGGCACTTCCTCGACACCACAGGGGGGGGCGCTGGGGGTGGTCTCCCTATCCGTTGCGGGCTCGCAAAGCGTGGCAGGCGTGGCGCTTCCTCGACACCACAGGGAGTGCGCTGGGGGTGGTATCCTTATCCGTTGCGGGCTCGCAAAGCGTGGCAGGCGTGGCACTTCCTCGACACGACAGGGGGTGCGCTGGGGGTGGGCTCCCTATCCGTTGCGGGCTCGCAAAGCGTGGCAAGCAATATGGCGTTGGATGATACATAGGGAAACATTCGCGACGAGGGCCCAGAACGCAGGATTGCGCATATATAAAAAACATAAGCAAGCACACCAGATTTAAATTAAGTATGTGGGGTTCTTCGGTAGCGTAAGTGTTGTTTTGTTTTCCTCGTTGCCTGTTGGGCAGGTCAAGTGCAAGGTGAGCCTTGGGGCCTAGCATGCGCGCAGGTGCGGGCGCCTCCAGTTCGCCGCGCGCAGCTTGTTAGCCAGCAAGAAATGAGGGAGGGGTGGAGCGTGGATGCCCTAGTCTCCGAGACCTGGCCCTCTGGGGCCGCGCTGACCCAGGGCCAGGTTCGGGACTTAATTCCCCCCCCCCTTGCCGTTGGCGGGAAAGCGCTCGGTGGCCCCCGCGTTGGTGTGGCCCCTTGTGGGCCCCCGCGTGGTGCCGCTGGTCTGGCCCTTATGTGGCCCGTGTTGCTTGCTCGCTGGTGCGGCCCTTCGGGGCCCCCGCGTGCTCGCAGGTGTGGCCCTCTGTGTGCCTGATCGGCGTGCTAGTGTGGCCAGCAGTGAACTGCTAGCTGGGGGAGGCCTGGTACTTGCGCCAACGCACACACAAATAACGCTCGGGCGCGCGACAGTCGACAAAAAGGACGCTGCTGCTGCTTCTGCTGTTGATGATGAGGAGGAGGAGGAGGAAGAAAAAAGGGAAACGGTAGTAGCACAGTTCTTTGAGTTCCAGTCGGAGATTCCGCAGATCGCAGATCGCAAATCGCGGAGGGGGGGGGAAGACGGAGAGGGGAAAGAACGAGGTGAGGGGAGAGGGGGGGGGGCAAGGGGAAGGGGGCGTGGGTGGGGCGGGCGGCTATTTGTAAGTCCATGGACGCCACGCCCGTCACCATCGGGAAGGCGGACAGCACCGAGGCCATCTGAGCCGTCCTCCGGTCGTAAGAGCGGACTGGGCAAGCGCTGGCAAGAGCCGAGTGGGGGCCGGAGGCGTGATATGATTTCCCAGAGTGGGGTAACTGGCTGGGCGGACGGGGGGGACTGTCTGGAGGGCAAGCATCACGGGCAGCAGCGGGAGCACGAGCAAGTATAAACCCATTCACTCCACTGACAGAACCCCCCGGAAAAAACCTCGATCAAAGGACCGGAGTGTGCTGTCCCGAGCCTCTTCGATAATCCAGGATTCTTGACGTTTTGTTGCCCCGTCTTGGGGGCGAGATTTGACGGTTCGCGGGTCAAGCCGAGATCACCGGAGGCGCTTGGGGCAAAGCCTCCCCAGGGCGAATGGCCTTCGGGCGGCCGCCCCGTCCTGAGAACCCGAAGCTATGTACATACGATTCGTATGCGAGCTCGTCCGCCGCACCCGCGGTTGCCGACTTGTTTGCACATGGTGGGATGGAGTCTCACCGGGCTTGGTGATATGGCCACGCCCTCTTCTCTCCCTCCCTTCCTCCTCATGCATGTTATCATTCCTTCTCTTTCCCCTCTCGGCATGCATGATAATGGTGAGGTGGAGTCTTGCCAGGTCTTCGACTAGCTTTTGCTTTCTCGAGACGGCACACGACGTGGATACGCTCTAGCAGCTTGCGCATGATGGATCACGTGAACCGCAGCAGCAGCAGCAACAGCAGCATGTCCAGCAGCCTCCTGGAGGCATCAGCCACGCGCAGAGGGGGGTGGGGGGAGGGGGGAGGGCTTCTTAGAAGCACCCCTGCTTCTTAGAAGGCGCGGGCCTTCTCTATAGGTGTCAGTCAGGCCAGCGCCTTCTAAGAAGCAGCCTTTTTCTAAGAAGCCCTCCCCCCTCCCTCCACCCTTGTGCGCGCCGCCAAAGGCAGCAACCGTCGCCTCTCCGCGGCGGTACCGCGCCCGTCGCGCGGCGGTGGCCTTCTCGTGGGCCTGCGCCGAGGGCGGCTCGCAGCCACCCCGCAGCAGCGAGGGCAGGGCAGGCAAGGTGGAGGGGAATCCTGTGGTGGCTTTCGTTAACGAGTGAGGAGGAGGAGGAGGAGGAGGAGGAGGAGGAGGAGGAGGAGGAGGAGGAGGAGGAGGAGGAAAAACCTGGAGCATTAACTATCTGATGCGGGCGGCGGTGATATCCATGGCCCATGCACGTTGGAGTTCCAGCGGCTTCCAGACCCTGGACTCCTTATCCAATGGTTCCCTTTCACGAAGTGGTCCTCTATACTGCCTAATAAGAATATAATTCCCGAATTCAGCACCCTCACCGGAGTCGAGCGGGAGCCGCGGAGAGCACCGATGGCGCGGGCTGGAGATGAGCGGGGGCTACGTGCCAGCTGGCTGCAGGAGGGGGGACTGAGGAAGGAGGATGGACCAGGGAGCTGGGCGAAGAGCGGTGTAGCAGCGGGCCAAGCGAAGCCAAGCGCAGCAGCGGGCCAACCGACGGCTGGCTTTCGTGGGCGGTCATAGTTGCGACGAGCCAGATGGTGGCGATGATGGTGATGATGAGTGTTGTGGCTGCGGTCGTGAAGAGAGCAGGAGGGAGAGACATTGAATAATTATTCAAAATCGCAGACCATCATTTAACATAACTTAGCAGTATATGGTACAAGCAACCGAACTACTGTGGTACAATAGGGTCGAATGTCATATAACAGACGGTGCCCCACTACATTACATCAGACTATAGCCGGATACGATATGATCACACATACTACAACACATCGTAAGATACGGTATTATATTGTGTTATCATAGATTATGTAACGTTCTACATCATGTAATATTATAATTAAAGTAAGCATACTAGTATTATATAGTATGTATTACATACTATAGAACGGAATGCACCATAAAACACAGACTATACATACAGATGACGCAGTGTAGCACAACATAATTCAATGCTACATAACATACTAGGCTGTAACGGTTGCAATACACTATAACATAATACGGTTTAGTTTGATATGTCATAGCACCTTGCAATCTATTTCTAAACTAGTATACTTCATTACACAATGATCGATCGTAATATCACAGTGCGCTGTACTTATTTGTAGTACGGTATACTCTAATGCAAGGCAATATGCAGCACATGTGCATATATGGTTACATATATGCATGTATGGTGCGGCCCATGTGTTGCAATCTAGATTGCGCAAATTACTACATGGTGTAAGCTATTGGGTTCAACTTACGTGGTGCAAGATGTGTGTTACAGTCTGTGTGGTGCAAGATTTGTGGTGTAATGGTTGTTGTGCAAGGTATGCATTATATCATAGTTTGTGACACCTATGTGGTGACATGTAATCGATGCACCTGGAGCCGTGAGCTCCGATGCTCGAGCATATATCCCACGTAACAGCCCCTCTGCAGCCATTTTGGCTCAAGCGGCTGCCGGGGGAGGCCAGCCGAGCGCCCCTGCGTGCATCTGCCGACATGCTGCGTCGGCGCGCCTCTTTCGACATCGGCTCTGGGGCCACGAAGTTGATGGTAGCCGACGTTGAGTTGGGCCCACCAGCTCGCATCATGGAGGTGCATTTCGCGCAGGAGGTGCCCGTGGGCTTCATGATGGCGCTGAGGCAGAGTGGTGACGGGACCCTGAGCCCGGCCATCCAGGACCAGGGCATGGAGGTTATGAGGGCGCTCGTGGCGAAGTGCCAGGAGCTGGCCGTCGGGGCTGGTTCCCGCTGCGCCGTGGCCACGGAGGTTTTCCGCAAAGCCAGCAACGGCGCGGACTATCTGAGACGGGTGAAGGAGGAGCTGGGGCTCGAGGCGCCCATCGTCACACAGGAGGCGGAGGCGCGGCTCGGCTTCCTGACCGCCGTGGCGCTCCAGGGCCGGCAGGAGGAGGAGGTGGTCTGCTGGGACTCTGGCGGCGGGAGCTTCCAGGTGACCTCGACCGACCCTTGCGGCGGTCCGCTGCGCACATTCCTCGGGGCACTCGGCTCCGGCAACTCCCTCGCGATGCTGGTCGAGGACGTGCAGCGCCACTCGTTCGCGGAGCACCCGTCGCCCAACCCGGTGAGCGGCGTGGATGCTGCGGCTCTCGTGGCCAGGATGAGAGCCTGCCTGTCCGAGCCGCCGTCTTGGCTGAGGGGAGCCCGGGTGACGGCCATCGGCGGCCCCAATTCCATGTTCCAGCTGGCAGCAGACATCCTCGGTTCGTCCACGTACACGGGCGACAACGTTCGGGAAGCGCTGGGCCGAGTGGTCGGCCGCACCGACGGCGACCTGGCGACGAGCTACTGCCAGGGCGACGACCGCGAGCCGCCCTCCCTGTGCGTGCCGAAGATCTGCCTGCTGCTGGCCGTCGTCGAGCACTGCGGCCTGGCGGAGGTCTCCTTCCAGCAGGCCATCGGCTCCTGCGCCGGGCTGCTCATCAGCGGCGAGCGCTACGCGGAGGGGTGCTGAGCCGCCTCCCCGCCAGGCGCGTGCGGGCCAGGCGCGCGCGGGCGCGGGCGCGGCGGCCCCGCCCAGCGCCGGCCTCGCCCGCGGGCGCCGCCGCCCCTCGCGCGGAGGCACCGCTGGGCAACAGGGCGCTGCCCGCGCGCGTGCACCGGCGGCGGGGTCGGAAATGACGAACCAACAACACACACCCATATCCATAGGGGGGTCGGAGAGGGCTATGGGTGCGTGTTGTCGGATGGGGGTCCCCGCTCGAACGGGAGCGTTCCCCAGGGTCCGACAACCCGCACCCATACCCATAGCCAGTCCTCCTCCCAACGACCCCCCTATGGGTATGGGTGTGTGTTGTTCGTTCGTCAGGAGTTGCAGTATTTTCATGCCCGGCGCTGTCGCCCAGTGTCGGGCCCCTTGGTCAAGCAGTGGCGAAGCGTCCGGGCTTGCCTGTAGCCCCACCAGACAATGTGCTAAGAACCTTTTTGTGGTTCCCACGAAATGTTCTTAGAACACTTCTGGCTGGGGCTGTCTTGTTTTAGCACATCGGGTTTATGTTCTAAGAACCTTGTTTCTGTTCTGAGAACATGTTGGGATTCTAAGAACAGTTCGTGGTAGGACTATAGGAATGCCGGGACGGTCGGTACCTGCTCAACCCTTGGCCCAGCACAGACCGTCCCGTTTACGCACCCGCAGCGTGTTGGCAATACCCGTGAGTGCAGCTACCTGTCTCAATCTTCCAGCAAGTCCCAGGTGCCGCGCGGACCTTTCTGATCAAGATGCGTGGTTCGAGCGGGCGGTTGTCGTTGATGATGATGATGATGATGATGATGATGATGATGATCATGATGATCATGATGATCATGATGATCATGATGATCATGATCATGACCATGATCATGTTCATATTCATGACCATGACCATGACCATGACCATGACCACGACCATGCTGCTGATGCTGCTAATGCTGATGCTGATGCTGATGCTGCATCTGCTGATGGTTATGCTGATGCTGATGATGCTGCTGCTGATGATGATGCTGATGATGATGCTGATGCTGATGATTATGACGATTATGCTGATGATGATGTTGCTGATGCTGATGCCGATGATGATGCTGATGATGATGCTGATGATGACGATGCTGATGATGATGCTGATGATGTCGGGGGAAGTCTGAAAACTAATACACTGAAGCAGCACGGTGTCCATGCGTTGTTCACAGCTCCATCTTGAAATGCTTTAAATCCTAATGGCTTTCGGTCTTCCCGCCATCTTGCCTGGATTATAGGTCAGAGGTCAGAGTCCTATGGGATGCTTGTGGGGATCTTTTGGGAGGCCTCTCGGAAGCCTCTTGGATTTGGTTTGAGGTGTCTTGGGGGCCTCTTGGGGCCTGATTTGGACCTCTTGGGGTCTCGGGGGCCATCTTGGGGCGAAGGGCGCGAAGTGTCGGTTCGTGTTCTCCCTTTGGGGCCTCTCTAGGGCCTCTCTTGGGGCCCCATTCGGGCGTTTTGGGGGCCCATTGGGCCGTCTTGGAGCCATCTTTGGCTGTCTGGGGGCACTGTTTGGGGCCTCTTAAACCGTCTTGGGCGATCTTAGGTGCCTCTTGGGATGTCTTGGAGCGTCGGAAGGCCGAAAAGGCGAAAACACCCAAACCCTTGGAAAACACATTGAAAATCAATGATTTGGGTATCTCGGGGCCGTCTTGGGGGTGTTCGTGGAGCCTCCTTGGAGCTTCCTCGGGGCCTCTGTCCGTCTTGAGGCCATCTTGGGCGTCTGGGAGCGATCTTGGGACGACTGAGGGGCCCTCTTGGACCCTTTTCGGTGCCTCTTGGGCCTATCCAGGCCCGCTTTGAGGACCTCCATCGCGGAACACCCCTGGCCCCCCCGCTAGCACCCAGAAGCGCCCGGGAAGCCGGGGGTCCGGGCCCCGAGGAATTCTACAAATCTTTGAGCTCTCAAGGCTGCATGGGCCTTGGGACACTCCGCTACGTGCTCAAGGCACGCTGACGGATACTTATGATTGTTGATTGGATGACTTCAACTGGCGCGCGCGGGAGCGCGCGCGCGCGAGTGTGTGGTCCGCAACAGTATGACTTTGCAGCGCTGGCCCAGGATGTATATACAAATATCTATATATACACATATATATACATATATATATATGTTGGTGGGAAATAGTATCTGCTATTTTAAAACCAGCCGGGAAGACGATAATACGCCAATAAGATAAGACGATACACGACGATAAGACGAGCAGACGATATAGGGCGTCGCCAGGCGATAAGACGATAAATCGACATAGGGCCTCGCCAGACGATAAGACGATAAGGCGATACTACTTATCGTCTTATCGTCTTATCGTCTTACCGTCATTTCACTCAGAGCTTTAGTTATCACCCAGGGGTCATAGCTATGCTGTGTCATCCATAGTCACGCACGACGACGCCGACGACCACGACGTCGGCCGCGACGACAAAGACGATGACGACGGTGACGATTCCAGCTGAAGCTGTCTCCATGGAGCGGGAAGCCGTCCCCGCAAGACGGAGTCTGAGGAGGAGGAGGAGGAGCAGTAGGAGGAGGAGGGGGAGGAGGAGGAGGGGCGGCAGAGCCCGTGGCAGCCAAAACAAAGATATTGGTCCGCATTGATTGCGCCACGTGGATGCACCACGCAGATTCTCCTCTCTGAAAGAAGAATCGACTTTACCCCTCCCCCCGGAGTTAACGGTCCCCTCGGGGGTATCGTAATTTCATGTTCATTACGCACGCTCGTCCATCCGCAATATGGATTCACAGTATCCCAGCCAGGCCGGGATCACTCCCCCCCGCCATCATCTGCAAAAAAACAATGCGCGCGCACTCGTTTATCAAAAGTCATAAGTTTTCAAGAACACCTTACAAACTATGAAACGAAGTGCACACGCGCGCGTCGTCGCGCGCGCATGCCGAAATCCTTCAAAGACCTTCGGTTTCGGAAGGATTTCAAAATCGAGCTCCCAAAAGAAAATATACAAAAACACACGGCTTCGCAACACTGATTTTCTATCAAAAATACGCGCTTTCTTGCGAAATCTCAAGAACAGCATAGGTTTTTCAACATTTTCACAACATACTACCACATGAACTTCGCGCGTGCGCATGTCGAATTTTGTAGAACGCCCTTGCTCGCGTGCCGTCGCGAGAATCCTTTACAAAAAATGCGACGCAGTGCACGCGCGCGCGCGTTGTCGCGCGCGCAGTCCAAAATCCTTCAAAAACCTCAGGTTCCGGAAGGATTTCAAAATCGAGTGTCCCAAAAACATACAAAGCACATGGTGTTGCAACACGGTTTTTCAACAAAAGCGTGCGCGCGCGCTCTTGCGTCGTCGTCGTCGTCAGCGTCGCTGTCCTCCCTCCTCCCTCGTCGTCGTGGTCGTCGCCGTCGTCGTCCTCTGTTTCCTTGTCGTCGTCGTCCGCTTTGGCGTCGTCGTCGTCTCCGTCGTCGTTGTCGCCGTGGTCGTCCTTCCTCTTCCCTCGACGTCGTCGTCCGTCGTCGGCGTCTCGTCGTCGTCCCTCCTGTTTTTTCGCCGTCGTCGTCGTCGTCGTCGTCGTCGTCGTCGTCGTCGTCTTCCCTCCTCCCTCGTCGTTGTCGTCGTCGGCGTCGCCGTCCTCCCTCCTTTGTCGTTCGCGTCGTCTCCGTGCTCCCTCCTCCCTCGTCGTCGTCGTCGTTGTCATCGTTGTCACCGTCGTCGTCCTCCCTCCTCCCTCGTCGTCGTCGTCTTCGTTGGCGGCGTCGTCGTCGTCGTCGTCGTCTTCGTCGTCGTCGTTGGCTTCGTCGTCGTCGTGGTCGTCGTCGTCGGCGTCGTCGTCGTCGGCGTCGTCATCGTCCTCGTCGGCGTCGTCGTTGTCGTCGTCGTCGGTGTCGCCGTCGTCGTTATCGTCGTCGTCGTCGGCGTCGTCGTCGTCATTGTCGTCGTCCTCGGCGTCGTCGGCGTTGTCATCGTCGTCGTCGTCGGTGTCGTCGTCGTCGTCGACGTTGTCGTCGTCGTCGTCGAAGTCGTTGGAGACGTCGTCGGTGTCGTCGTAGTTGGTGTCGGCGGCGTCGTCGTCGTCGTTGTCGCTGTCGTCGTCGACGTCGGTGTCGTTGCCAAGTGCCACTTTGTAGCTACAGTCACGGTCTTGAAAGGTCTTGCGACCAAGTTGCGGGTGGGAGGGTGGGATGTTTGCACGAGCAGTGCCCAGAGGATCCATATCCTCCGAAACGGGACCGGGCACGAATCTAGGCCATAGATGCATTAGATCAATGAACGGGGCCGGAGTTCGATAGTCAAGAGCAAACGGGACCGGCCTTAAACCATATACATAGAAGAGTATGTATACATAGCTATCAAGCAAGTATACGCCACAGGCTCGAACTTCTCTGAAACAAAAAAAATCTCCTTCCGCCGTCCTCTCCACCTCCCTCCCCCCGTCCCCCTCCCGTGATATGTGCGTGTGTGTATGTATGTGTGCGTGCGTGGAAGAGGCGGGGGGTCGTCGTCGTCGCCGCCACCGCCGCCGCCGCAGTCGCTGTCGCGGCCGTCGTCGATATCGTGGTCGTCGATGTCGCCGTCGTCGTCGTCGTCGTCGCCGTCGCCGCCGTCGTCGCCGTCGCCGCCGTATGTCGCCGTCCTCGCCGTCGTCGCCCCCTGCCCGCCGCTCCGTCGACGTCGTCGTCGTCGTCGTCATCATCGTCGTCGCCGTCATACGTATCGGGGGGATGAAAATGAAAACAAAAGGAATATAGGAACCCATGGATCAACCCATGGCGCAACCCATGGACAGGCCCGATGGCGCAACCCATGGGCAGGGCCGATGGCGCAACCCATTCGGCGACCTATGGCGCAACCCATGGGCAGGCCCGATGGCGCAAGCTATGGCGCAGTGCGTGTCCCGAGGCGCAACATATGGGCGCGCATGGCCTGGCCCTCCTCCTCATCTTCCCTCCCGCCATCCGCCGCCGACGCCCGCACTCCTCACCCGCAGCCGTTTTGGCGCATGCCTGCGAGGAAGCGGGCGAACGTGGAGGTGTGCCCAGGCCCGTACGGCTACCGCCCGCCACAACCCTGGTGCACGCCTATCGGGCGTAGTCTCGTGATGGCCACCTTGCGCGCGGAGTTAGAGCTGGCGGCGGATCGCGGCGCCGAGAGTTGCGACGAGGCTGGCACGGTGGAGATCGGGAAGTCGCAGACTGTCGAGAAGGTGGATGTCCACAGCCAGGACACCGAGACGGCCGAGGTGGCGGCGTCCATGCCACGCGCGGCCGATGGGGGCACAGTGGATGAGTCGGCGTCGCAGACGTTGCCCGACACGTGCTCGCAGTTTCGCCCGACGCGGGCTCCGAAGAAGAACAAGCCCATCGACGTCCACACGTCAGATGAGGAGCGGGGGGAGTGGTCGCCGCCTGGTGCTGACGGCGACGCCGCCGAGGATGACGCAGATGCAGAGGTGCTCGATGGCGACGGCAACCAGATCACGTTCGAGGACCAGCTGAAGCTGGCGGAGGTGATCTCTTCGCAGCACCCGCAGCCCGATCCACCGCAGTTCGACGCAGAGGAGCTCAAGCAGGCAGAGCTGCTCTCTCAGCAGCATCCGCAGCCCAAGCCGCCAGAGTTCGATGCTGATCAGTTGAAGCTCGCGGAGGAGCTGTCGCTGTCGCGGGCAGAGGCTGCGACTCAGCTTCCAGATGCATTGCCTCCGCCGACCGACTCAGATGTCCAGCGGTTTATCGAGCGTACCAGGGCGGATGCAGTGGCGATTGATGTAGATTCTGCGCTGGCTGAGGGC